CTGCACGAGAACTATGTGAAAACTGTACGAGAACTGTACGAGAACTGTACGAGAACTATACAAGAACTGTACGAGAACTACTGTACGAGAACTATACAGGAAATGTACGAGAACTGTACGAGAACTGTACGAGAACTGTGCGAGAACTGTACGAGAACTGCACGGGAACTATACGGGAACTATACGAGAACTATACAGGAATTGTACAAGAACTGTACGAGAACTGTACGAGAACTATACGAGAACTGCACGGGAACTATACGAGAACTGAACGAGAACTGTACGAGAACTATGGGTAACACTTTATTTTGATGGTCCCTTTTGAACATTCTGTTAACTATAAGTAACTTTGCAACTACATGTCAACTAACTCTCATTAGAGTATTAGTAGACTGTCTGCTTAATATCTGCCAACTCTTTATTGTGATGGTCCTCCAACAGACAGTCTACTAACTATAAGTAACTTTGCAACTACATGTCAACTTATTCTAACCCTAACCCTACCAGTCTACTAATACTCTACTAATACTCTAATTAGAGTTAGTAGACATGTAGGTGCAGCGTTACTTATAGACAACAGAATGTGTTAAAGGGACCATCAAAATAAAGTGAAACCGAACTATGTAACTAAGCTAAGCTATACTGTACGAGAACTGTACGAGAACTGCATGAGAACTGTACGAGAACTATACGAGAACTGCATGAGAACTGCATGAGAACTGTATGAGAACTGTACGAGAACTGTACGAGAACTGCATGAGAACTGCATGAGAACTGTACGAGAATTGTACGAGAACTGCATGAGAACTGTACGAGAACTGCATGAGAACTGCATGAGAACTGCATGAGAACTGTACGAGAACTGTACGAGAATTGTATGAGAACTGCATGAGAACTGTACGAGAATTGTACGAGAACTGTACGAGAACTGCATGAGAACTGCATGAGAACTGTACGAGAACTGCATGAGAACTGTACGAGAACTGCATGAGAACTGCATGAGAACTGTACGAGAACTGTACGAGAATTGTATGAGAACTGCATGAGAACTGTACGAGAATTGTACGAGAACTGTACGAGAACTGTACGAGAACTGCATGAGAACTGTACGAGAACTGTACGAGAACTGCATGAGAACTGTACGAGAACTATACGAGAACTGCATGAGAACTGCATGAGAACTGTACGAGAACTGTACGAGAACTGCATGAGAACTGTACGAGAACTGTACGAGAACTGCATGAGAACTGTACGAGAACTGTACGAGAATTGTAAGAGAACTGTACGAGAACTGCATGAGAACTGTGCGAGAACTGTACGAGAACTGCACGAGAACTGCATGAGAACTGTACGAGAATTGTAAGAGAACTGTACGAGAACTGCATGAGAACTGTGCGAGAACTGTACGAGAACTGCATGAGAACTGCATGAGAACTGTACGAGAACTGCATGAGAACTGTACGAGAACTGCATGAGAACTGCATGAGAACTGTACGAGAACTGTACGAGAACTGCATGAGAACTGTACGAGAACTGTACGAGAACTGTACGAGAACTGCATGAGAACTGCATGAGAACTGTACGAGAACTGCATGAGAACTGTACGAGAACTGTACGAGAACTGTACGAGAACTGCATGAGAACTGCATGAGAACTGTACGAGAACTGTACGAGAACTGCACGAGAACTGTACGAGAACTGTACGAACTGAGGTGAGCTTTAGTGGAGGGGAAACTGATCAATGAATAACGACTTCATGTGTAGTTGATGATGATAGAATCGAGCAGTGTGTGTGTGTGTGTGTGTGTGTGTGTGTGTCTGCTGTAAAAATGAATCTATATTTGTGAGGTCTGCCCTCCACTCTTCCATCTTCATGGGAACATGCAGGTCTGCCCACACACACACACACACACACACACACACACACACACACACGAGCCTGACAATCAAAACAAAACAGAGAAGAAAGAAAAACAGGCTCAGTTTCTGTGCGATGAGTCCCAGCAGACTGAGAGACACACACACACACACACACACACACACACACAACGTCCCAGACAAACGTGAGTAAAACTAAAGGTCCTTGCAAATCTTCGTAAGTGTTTTCTGTATTCATCATTCGGTGGCTCTGAATTGTTAAACACTTCTCAAACTCTCGCTACGGACGCGCAAAACGCAGAAAATCGAACCCGATCCGAATTGTTTATGACGGACTAAAGTTTTGGAGGCGGTGTGTAAGCGTGATGACATAACGTGAGGCCGTATTTATCTTTTAACGTGCGAAACTCTCGGACTCAGTGTGCGAACACCTTTACTCTGAGCAACTCTAATCTACTATTCACACTGAGAAATAAACCAGCACAACTCTGATCACTCCAGAACTATATCAAACCATAAACCAATATCGAGAAAGCCTTCTGATGCTCCAGAAACAAACACACACAACTAACATCATCCTCTCACACACACACACACACTCTCTCCCACACACACACAACTA